TGCAATATTCTAAACAATGTTTCAAAACTCTAAATGCTCTAAAAAAGCACAAAATGTCATGATTTCAGCTCTCTGCCTCCAGCTGCTTTCTTCCACCTGCCATCGTTATTGGCCACGCCCACTTCTCTGCTGCAGAGCGGAGTTCATCACACGCTGCAGGAGGAAGCTTTTTTTTTATTTGCAGTTGTGGGCTGCACATAGGTGCAGCAGGTGCTAAATAATTCAAAATACATTTATTTTAAATAAAACGTCCATGCCAATCGTGTGGCTCATCCATCAATCAACCAATTGTGTTTCATGTTCAATCTTACTTTGATAAACCGTGATGGAGCGAGTCCATGACAAACAAACTGCAAATTAGCGAGGGACTACTGTAATATATTTATAAAAATGTGACCTAATAGCTCACTGAAATATAGTTGATATGTTCTAACCAGCATGGAAGCCAAATGAAGTAGGACATGTTGGTTCTTACAAAGCAGAGCGTACCACTCAGTGGCAGCACTGGTACGGAAATAAATCTGAGCATATGCTCTCACCAATTACAGATTTGTGTAAAGAATGTTGTTCTAAAGCATCCCATCTTTCGTTGAATCATGTTCTGTAAATGTAGAAGTTTCTATACAACCCTTTTCTCTATTATAAGTCAATCAGAAATTTCCTTTCTCATTTTTGTGTATCCTCAAGCAATGAAGCAAAGGTTAGACTATTAGACATCTTGTTCGGATTTGATAAGATCACCCGGAGTAGATTCATATGGGGATGCAAGTGTTTGATAATGTGAGCTGGGTAAGGAGTGGCAGCTAATGAGCAGACAGCTTCAGAGAAGTGTCATCAAAAAGCAGCCGGCATCTTTCTGGGTCGGAATGTGCCATCTTCTTTGCCACTGTCGCTTGTCACCATCCCTTCATTTCTACAGACTTTAAGGGAATGGCAAAACTCAGGATCACCATCTTTCTGTATTTCTACATTTCAGTGCTGAGGAAAGATAAAGGAATAACAGAAGGTTACTGAAATCAACTACAGCCTTGAAATGTGATAATGGTAAACAGTCTAGTGATGATTGAGATTAAATTTGTTTACTTTCATGCTGCACTGATTTTTACATAATTTGATAACAGGATTTCAGTCTATAAAATTTGTGAATAATAATGCGATTTTCCACACATCTTGCAATTTACCTCTGCATTTACCTCTCTTTCTGACAGACAATACAATCAGCGTGCTTGCCAAACACGATACCTTCCGACGGCAGAAACAGGAGACATACTTCTTGCCTATCATTGTGACAGACAACGGAAACCCACCAATGAGCAGCACCAACACCTTGACTATTCGAGTCTGTGGATGCAGCAAAGATGGAATAGTCCAATCCTGCAACGTTGAAGCCTACGTCTTACCCATTGGTCTTAGTATGGGGGCTCTTATCGCCATCCTGGCTTGCATAATACTCTTGCTAGGTGAACTATTTCCCTTTTCTTAAGTGACATTAGCTATGTTTACATGGACATAAGTAATTGGATTAAACGGCCATTTGGAATAAAAATGCGCCATTCTGAATATTTTTTGTTGATTCAGCTCGATCCGAATGAATTTGTAATCCAAATGAGATGGGTAGTTTATGATGGTTCATAATCAGAACGGTGTGCATGTAGCACTTAATCTGATTATTTTATTGTGATCATGGACAACTGACCTGACTGTGCATGTGTGACCTGTCAGCCTCACATATTTCCACCTGGCTAGATGCTAATAATATTAGCATGTAGGGGAAGCAAAATTGGTCGGTGAGCTACACAACATTTCTACTAGAAATTTTGAAAGAGCTCAAAATGATCTGTATTATCTGTAGCACAATCAGGGAGTGCAGTAACGTCTCCACCATCCTTAAAACCTGGCGTGGATCCATTTTGGGCGCTCAGGGTTGTTTACGTTCATCACGGAAGTAAAACGGAAGTAGAACTTCTTCTTCTGTGGTATTTTTTAAAGGAAAGTTTACCACTCTGCACATGTCAGTACTTATATTCTGTATAAAATCCCACTGCATGTAAACTCTCATCAAGAATGCATTGTGTCCATGTAAACAATACCTTTGGATTATTTTATCCAAATACATTTATATCTGGTCGAAAAAAAAACATAGCTAATATTAGTTTGTTGAGGTTTAATAGATGTATATAAAACTTGCATCATCTAACTTTGACAATAGAGCATGTTGATTTAATACAAAATATTGTTTGTCATAGCTTGACCAAGTCTTTCTCTTTTTTTCCTTTTTCCCTTTTCTTTCCATGTTTTTTTTGACAGTAATAGTAGTACTTTTTGTGACCCTGAGGAGACACAAGAACGAACCTCTGATTATCAAGGATGATGAAGATGTGAGAGAGAATATTATCCGATATGATGATGAAGGAGGCGGTGAAGAAGACACCGAAGCTTTTGACATTGCCACGCTACAGAACCCAGATGGTATCAATGGATACCTGCCACGCAAGGACATTAAGCCGGACTTGCAGTTCATGCCACGGGCAGGCCAGCACTCTGGCCCAAATGGTGTGGATGTGGATGAATTTATCAACGTACGACTCCATGAGGCAGACAATGATCCAACGGCACCACCTTACGACTCCATTCAGATCTATGGATATGAGGGCCGTGGATCAATTGCAGGCTCCCTCAGCTCATTGGAAACAGCATCATCAGACTCAGACCAGAATTATGACTATCTCAGAGAGTGGGGCCCACGCTTCAGAAGACTTGGGGAGCTCTACTCAGTGGGTGAGAGCGATCGTGAGACCTGACCTTTGTTTTCTTAGAGAAAAAAATACTTTTTTTTTTTTTTTTTTGGTCCACATATTTGTGTAATAAACACTAGGGGTTGCTGACTTATAGAAACAGGTGTTTAAAAAAAATCTGTTATTGCAAAAGAGGGTGCCACCTTTTTGTATTTTTTTAGAGTGAGGTTTAGCAGTTGTCATCCACTACGTCAAGCGCATTGTACTTGTTGAGCCAAACAATGTCTTTCTTAGAAGAACTGATTCTTGTGGAGTGTACCTTAGGTTCCGTTGTGGAGTGTCTAGCAGTACTTTGGATGTTTGTCATTTGCTGTGACTGCCAGTAGCAGAAAACCCCTGGCATTTCTGGTAGTTGCCCAATAAACATTTTGGGTTTTCTGAAGCTTGAATGGACACCATACTCCACGGACTCCATGTTCTATGGACACCAAGCTGGACTACAGAAGCTGCAAAAGGGACTGATATACATGTCTCCCTAAGCCACCCAGATGAAAGGCAAAAGGGGGACAAAACGAAAATTAAAAAGCAATATATGGTCTACATTGCAACAATGAATGTAAGTATGGTTTGAAAGTAAAATGAGCAAAAAGACCAACCAGTATTGGCTTTAAGGCAAATTTGTCACGATTTGATATGTTCTCTGGTGGCAACATTTATAAACTATCTAAAGCCCAGAAAGGCTTGCTTTATACAACTCTTTGTATTTACATGCTACAGGTGTGGGTTCCAAGTGTTACTAGCGTATAAAAGACTGACATAAAGACAAAAAAGAGAAATGTAGAAACTCTGAGGCCTTCTTTTTACAGAAGCAACATTAAATACAATTGTAACCTACTGTTTTTGACAAGATGTGTTGATACTTCATTACTGTTCTATCAATCTTTTATATATATGTTCTTAAGTCATTTTTTTTCTGTGCCAACTATTTGAAATAAGTGTTTAGATTTTTTCAGATTCAGCTTTTTTCCACCATTTGAACACTACTTCATAACAGCCGGACAATATCAGAAATTCATTGCAGTGAGTAGCGTAATATAGTCCAGATGTAAGCAGACAAAGTTCTAAGCTTCCCCAAAAATAAATATAAATTATTATATTAGAAACATTGAATTAAGACCTTTCTTACACATGCTGATCGTGAGTAAATTAAAACAAAACTTAAGGATACAGCAAGTGAGCTTTCATTAGTCAATTTTATACCCAATTATGTGACTTCTTTCAAACATCAAGCCACATTTAGGAAACACAGATTGCATTAGCCCAAGAAAAATGGCAACACAGATTGAGATCATGTGCATATTGTGCTTACACTGTATGATACCAATAAAAAAAGTCTTGTTCTGTACATAAAGTTACTGCTAACATCATTAGCTTTTAATGAGGTGGTAGGTTTTGTCGCTGCACGTTAGCTCTTGCACATAATGAGAATTTCAGTGGCACTACAGCTGCGTGCGTACTCAGTTTGTACCGATACAGTATTCTGGCAGTTCTCAGTAGACTAAACAATATATATGGAATAGTCCAACATGCAGATCATATTTTCTACTGTGCTTTAATGCTTATAAATGTGTATGTTCAATTATTTACTCCCTGTACTGTAATCTAAGAAACCCTGTATTGTTTCCTACTTTGTGAAATATATTTTTATAAATATTGACAAATGTGTATGATTCTTTAATAAGTAATATTGGGTAAAATTAAACAAAGTAGAAAAAATATATTTTATTTAACCTGGCAAATCCCATTGAGATCACAGATCTCTTTTGCAAGGGAGGCCTGGGCCTGAAGGCAGACTAACATGTATGTTTTTAATCTGTGGGAGGAAACCGGAGTGCCCGGAGAAAAATCACACAAGCACAAGAAGAACATACAAACTCCACACAGAAAGATCCCAGATTCAACTGGGGATTGAACCCAGGACCTTCTCGCTGTGAGGCAACATTGCTAACCACTGAGCCACCGTGCTACCAGAAATAAAACATTACTATGCCCCAACTGCTTAGATGTTGATAGTTCCAATTAAATCTGACCAAAAATTTCTAATTACATCATATTTATATAAACTGCTTTTACTTTTGTACATTTGTTTAATAAAACATAAATACAATAAGAAGGGTCCACGTTTAGAACAAGATGAATATTTACATTCCTTACTTATGCCTCTGGCATGAAGAAGCATCATTACACTGATAAAAACAAAAGCAGTCCTTTGACAGTTCTGGATGGCTTTCCACTTTTTCAAAATTGATCAAATTTACTTCTGCACTGCTTAAAAAATAAACAAATTTTCAGGCTCAGATTTCAAACCAATTTCTTGTATTTAGTTAGAGCCCTTGAGCAAATCTGCATCCCACATCCAAT